AAAGACAGATAAAAATTACTATTAGCATCAATAACTACTAAAGGGATTCAGTGGAAGCCAGAAACAACACAACAAATAAAGACCAAGTAAAGTGAAACTCACAAATTCAGCCAACAGGCCAAAAACATCCCTTGTACTAACCCCTCTGTGCTCTCCCCAAGGGTTCAGCACCGGTGCTTTAAGCAGACTGTTGGATATTCTTTACCAAGCTACACATGGTGCACAAAACAAAGATGCTGGATAGGATGCAGAACAACGGATTTGGGTGACTTGGAACAGAAGAAATGCTGAACGACAGAGAGTTCAAAGTAGTATGAACTAGAATCACAGATATGTCACGGGAGGGAGCACTTCTCTGGTTTCAGATCCAACAGCCATACTACACGTGGATGAAAGTCCACCATGGCATAAAAACATCCGCAGTAGTGTAATCCTTGCCCGAGCCACCCCGTTCTTTGGGGAGCACAACGGAGAACCACTCCCTTACCGAGGCCAACCTCTAAAATGTGAGTGCAGGAAGATAAAACATCACACACTCAAGACATACTCTAACCATCATAAGTCTCTCAAGTTTCTTTTAATAATCAATTGCTGGGCTGGGGATTTTGCTCGGTGGTTTCGCCGCCCACTGTGCAAACGCAAGGACCTGAGTTCAATCTCCGACACCATAAACAAAAAAAAGCAATTACTAAGAAACCATTCAGCAAAAGTAAGACATTAGAAAATACTGGAAACATTGCAAATTGAAGTATTACAGGCTGGTACCTAAAGTATTTCAAATTTTGTGGGAGTTTTTTCCTTCTGGTTTGGGCGACTTCTGTAGTTCAACATCCCTAATCTAAAAATGTAAAATCAAGTACCCTACAAGGGGGTCGAAGGTGTACCTCAGTGGCAGGGCATGTGCTTTGCATGCAGGAAGGCCTGGGTTCAATCACCAGTACCACAAGAAATAACCAAGAAATGCTACAAAATCTGAAACTTTTTAAGCACTCACACTCACAAGACACAGGGAGCATTTCAGATTTCAGATTATTTCAGATTAAGGATTCTCAATCTGTAGCAGCATCTCTCTAGTAAACTAGATTATAAAATTTCCATAGTTCTTAACACAAGGAATGGCATGTTTTGTTAATAAAATGTAGTGGATATATAAGACAGACGACAAATATAAGGGTAATAGAAAACATTTTGACACAAAGCGTTAGTCACATTTAAATAAAGAAAAAGCCATTCATCTTCACTCCTTGCAAAAGCTGACTGAACGTTAGGGACTCCACTGAAGCTGGGACGAGGTTCAGACTCGGGGCTCCAAGAGCCAATGCTGCTGCTATGCATTACACTGGCCACGTGGAGACCACTGCCATTCACGTATTCACCTCATCTTTCATTTTGAACAAACTACAACCTGAGTGCCTACTATGTGCCCTAGGCAGTGTTAACCTCTGAAAAATCTGTCATACAAACCAAGCCAAAATTAACTGTTAATTAATACAAGGGCAACAATATAAATTTCATGAAGGAAAAATGAACCAGATAAAGACAACAAGCTGCGAACACAGTCTTTCTTAAAACCATAATTAATACATATAGAAGGTTGGAATTGAAATCAGCAGGAGGAAACATCATCAACAACTTGTTGTTCTTAAATGAGCAGCACTTCAACCCGTTTTCGTTAAAAAGAAAAATGGTAGTACACCTTGGGCACCATGTTAAGCCCTAGTATGAGAAGAATAAACTTTATTCTATACTTTAGTCCCATCTATGATTTATCTTTAAATTACATTTTATAGTTCTCTCAATGCACGTACAAAATACCCACTTTCCCTGTATTTCACTTGATAGGCCACTGAGCTTTTAAATTCAGTAAATATCCAAAAAGATATAAGGAAAGAGAGATGTTCGCAAGTATAAGGGATATTACTGTAAGCACGGGAGTTTCTAAATAAAGATAAGCAGCTACCAAAACTTAGGATGGCAGCAGGAATACACCAATGCTTCTCTAAGAGGAGTGTTGAAAGGGGAGAGGAAAAACCAAACCTGCATGTTACAAACCCCAC